TCTCCTAAGCCTACAAAAAGAGAATAGAGTTGTATGAAGGAGGTTGATCTTCGCCTATTAAAGGAAGATCATTAGCGGATGCCGATGGCCTCGACGGAAGGGGAATCGGCTGAGTGAATGTAGGTCACGGTGACCGAACCATTATAAAAACTTGGTTTGTATTTCTATTATTGCTATTTACCTTCACTATAAACTACTTACTTCCTTTACTTCCATTACGCTTACGAATATGATTTCAAAGTTAACATCTCTCCGAAACGATTTTCGTCGAAATCAGTTTTAATCGAACGAAGATATTTTAAATCGACGTAATCTTTCCGTTGCACTAATTCACCCCCTCTCTTAGTGCCGACCCGTTCATAATAGTTGTTACCTTTGTTTATGTTCCTCTCGTTGTGCCACGATTGATGTAAGTGCAATGCTAATTGACATGTTCCGTTCTTCAACCCTCTCCAATGGTAGAAATAATGCGTACTTTGAGACCATACACTATTTATTCTCTCTACTTAGGATGATGTTTGATAGCCCCCTCTGAATTCTCTGATAGATTGCATGCACGAAGGAGCAAGTAATGATCACCACACAGCAGGTAGACTGTAAACTGCTTCTCTGCCTTCACCAGCATTGTTCTCGAACCTGCTTCCATTACATGAGAAATTTGTTCCATTGATTCAAATGTTGTAGTAGGCAATGGATGACTGTCCTATGGTAGAAAGAGAGTAGATGTAAACCATCACCTGCCCTACGCATTGTTCTACCTCATATAACATTTTGACTTGAGAAATCTCTAAGTTACTTGTCCAAGACATGGATCATCTTTTCTTTCTTTCTTTCCTCTGTTAGTGGTCTCTGATCTCTTCTTCCCCGACCCAAACTTAGAACCCTCATGCGAGCCTGAAACAGTGCCCTGCATTTGAACCCATCAACACATTCCCGAAGAGCATATATGCATTGTTAATTTGCAAGCTTTCACAATCTAAAATACTTGTAGTTTCCCTCGAGAAACAACAAAATAGCACTTATGAACTAATTACATGCATACATCCTTAATCTGGTGAGTGAGTTATTCTTGATTCATAAATATTCATGTCTCAAATCTCAACAAACACACTAACGTGAATGGATAACTGTGCACAAGTAGTCTTGATTGTGACATAGAAGATTTTTGAGTTCATGGTAGATTCTGAAACAGACTGGTTTGGAATTTATGAGCATGAAGTTAGGTTCGTTTTTAAGTATCTGTCATCGTTACATGGTACTAAATATAAAAGGGTTTGGATTTCTGAAGGTTCTCAACCTGATCTTGGTAGGTGAAACTAGCTTATAAAATATCATAACGAATTAAACTTTAAACTTTAATCATGATTCATATTTTTTTATATCCAATTAAAGATTTGATGTAATAATCCTGAATCTTAATGATAAAACTAATATACCCTTAACATGAGTAACAAAGAAAAATACTTTGATTATAAAATCGAACCATCGAGTACTCAACTGGAGCACGAGAGTCAAACGCTATACTAAAAAATTATCATGTCAAAAATTAGATGTCGAGATAGATGATTGATCGATATATCGGAAATCAAACTTTGTGATAAAGGTTCATATATTGTGTCAGAAGGATTGAATATTATGTCAAAAGATTAGATGTTGTGAAAAAATTAAAATACCATGAAATAAGCGGTATACCGAAGGAAAGGATGATATATTAAAAGTTGAAGATTGAATGATATGCCGAAAGAATATATAACGAGTTGAAAGCTTTGTAAAGATGTGTAATTGATCTGTGAAGGTCCTAATCGATATTAACTTGGGTTATTTAAAATCATTGGCCAAAATAAAGTCAACTTATAAAGTTATTGGCTTGAAGCCGAGCTGAATTGGGTTAGTTAGAAAGTCAAACCAATGACCTAAATTAGACTTAGATAGTGATACCAATAGGCCCAAGCGATAGAACTACTCGAGTTTGATAAGTATTGTTTGTACTTTATCAGTTTTTCAAATTATAGTATCGCCTACGATGATAGTAGTACTATCCAAAATTAAAAAATTATAATGATAGTACTATGCGAGTCTAGAATTATAATTGTGTTAAAAGTTGTAATGGTAATACTGTGCAAAATCGATGGTAGTACTGCCCATATCTTAAAGTTTTGAAGATTTAAATTTTTTTGATTTATTCTTAAGATCCTTTGGGGTCTATAAATATCTCACTTAGGTTTGATTGATTAACATTCATTTTTGAACTAGTGAAATATTATAAGCTCTAATTTTAAGTATAGTTTGAGTCTCCCTCTCTTTTCAAGTCTAGTTGAAATTCTAAATTGTAGGAGGTAAAAGATATCTTATAAAAAAAGAGCGTAAATATTATCTCCTAAGCCTTAAAAAAAGAGTGGGTTATAATAAGGGTATTTTGATATTCGATTAGAAAAAAAGATCGATAATGAAAATTGATGATCTCAAGAAAAAAGGAACCAAGAGTGCCAACCATAATAAATTGATTTATTTATCTTTAGTTCTATTACTTATGACTCAGTTTTATGTTTTTTACTTATAACTTTAACTTAATTAATTAAGTTTTTAAAATATATTAATTTGTTATTTAAAAATATTATTATATTAATTCAAATCCCCTTCTTCCTGTCTATCCTAATAATTCTTTCCTAACAAAATATTAGCATTGCAAACATCTGAGTAAGAAATCATCAGTGAGGCCTTGTCACCTTGAATCTAAGACTCAATAATTGGATACTTAATGAGATGGAGTAAAGGTATTTGACCAAGATAGACGTGTAGAGAGAGAGAGAGAGAGAGAGAGAGAGAGATACGATGTAGTAAAGGTATTTGACCAAGATAGATGTGTAGAGAGAGAGATAGATGTGTAAACACATATGATCATGGTTTTATCATATGGAAGAGCTTCTTCAACCTTTCACCGCATTCAGAAGAGTGGACAGCACAGGGAGCTTTGTCCTTTCCTGAGCCAGTCATGGAATCCCACCACATCGACCTCGGTTGCCCACAGTCGAAGCTTTTGTTTCAGGCGATGTGCACTTGGGACTCGTGAGCTCTGTGAGAAATATGGTGCGAGGTAATGGATGATGCAGGGCGTGATGAGAGGCTGTAAGAAGTAGAGGTGTGTAGACATGGTGCTCGATCAATTTACCTGCGCTTCGATGCCTCGCAGGTCATCAGCAGGCTCTGCATCAGACCAATCTGAGCTCGGAGAGAGAGGACGTAGTCCAAGGTTTCATCTAGCAAGGAGAACCCACTCAGGGACTCGCCACCGGGAACAAGTCTTCGGAGCACTCGCGTTCTCTTCTCCACTGCACACAGCTTCTTCTTCCTTCTGGTTGAGGACACCCTAAGGCTTCCTCAGGATCTTTTTGCTTCTTGGGATCTTCCATGAATGGCTTCATCAGTCTCTCATACTGCTCTCCCAGGATCACCCGAGGGAACTGCCTCTTCTGCTGCTCCTTGGAGAGATTCGCGATGAGGCCACGAGTCCATTTCCTGCTACCCCGAGCCACGGCCATGGCGACATTGGCCGAAAGCTTGATGACACTCTTCTTCTCTTGGAAGCTCATCCTTTTGGATGAAACATCAGTCACTCGGAAGCCAAGCAGCATTTGCTCGAGGAAGGCTTGCTTGAATGTTCTTGTGACTTGCATGGTTGTGATAGGAAAGCAAAGCTGCCTATTCAATACTCTCTTTGCTCTTATATATATATATATATATATATATATATATATATATATATATAATGCTGCTCCTCCAAGCTCGCTTGGTCATCAAAATAAAAAGAGCACAGACGAAATAGCAGTGTTATGAGATAACAGTGGTGAGTAACAAGTGGCTCTTTTACATATGGAGGTCATGTGAGAAGACGGACATACATGAATGTGTGGTGTGTTACGAGTGTGCAGTGTAGGCATCAGAGTTTGGAAACAGCTACAAAGTGATCAGAGTGCAGAGGAAGAAGACAGGTAGAAGGAAATGTTGGACCTTCATGGAGAAGAAATTATGGAACGAATCGTGCATGGTGAGGCACGAACAGCCACCTTATTTTAGGGTTGTGGGAAAGAGAGATGGGGTCCTACTTGGAAGACACACCACATGCATGCAAATGGTGTGCATGGCCCACAATGCCTAAGCAAACATTGTTTCCTTGTGTGAGTTCCAACATGTACAAGAAGAGCCAAGAGGTTGGCAATTAGGGTTTCATTTTAGGGTTCATGCAGTCAAGCATGCATGGCTATGTTTCTTTTCTCTGATCACAAATCTTTTCAAGAATGAAGCAATAGGAATGAGGATTGTGAAGGTTTCATCCATGAAGAGGGCAGGCAGGCTTTTGTCAACAAGACCAGGAAGAAGACAGCATGTGTTGGCAACTGAATCAAACAGTTCTTCCACCTTTTACTCTGACAAAATGTAGCAGGAAATATTAAAATGGAGGAGAAAAGAGATTAAGAAATCAATCCAATACACAGTTATTTCTTGCACCTTTAGCTTGGCAAAATCCAGGAAACATGGTGATGGGAAATGAAACCCCACATGGGTGGAATCCACATCATGATTTCTCAGCTTTGGAGCTTCACATGACCTCCTACCCCTCCAACTTCATTTTATTATGAAAATAATAAAAGAAATAAATAATATGTCAATTAAGTACTCCACATATCTTTTTGCATTTCTTTACCTTTTCCTTGGGGGAGCTAGGAATGGCTTTAAGGAATGTACACATTGGCATGATGCCAAAATAACTCCTCTTTTCATAATAGGTTTGTCAAACACCACCGATACAAAATGTTACAAACTTAACTGATTTATCTCACTCATGAGATTCCATTCCGATAGTCATTTGCAAAGGGTTAAACCAGGTGCAACCTAGCACATATTCTCATGAACTTGTAAAAGAGAAAATTATTTAGTTTCAAAAATGAATGATGAATAAATCCCAACATCTCAAACAAAAAACACAATATTCGAACAATTCAACAAACACTTTAATATAAGCAATCGCTTAATCAGGTGTCAGATCAGATTTCAACTCCAACTCTTCACTCTTGTGCTTCAATCATTAGGATAACGATGCATATGGACATACATCTATATGTATACATTGTATTAAATCAGTACCAATGTTTATCAGGATACATGCACATCTTTAGATTCAGAGAAAAAAATTTCTGCTATGTGAGCCAATACCTAATTTAGTGTCGACGACAATTAAGCATTACTTGCATCATATGCTGATATCAGTCATCACTTGATTATGTGCAAGCATGACATAGATTTACAAAATTTAAATCACAAAAATAGTCCCTTTCCTTGTAAAGTAACTTACTAAATTGACGAAAATCTAGTGCACTGAATGAGTCACTTTGCAACCAAAGCCTCATCATCATCATCTCGCACTTGACCCGAATTATGCAGGTCTTTGCAACTTGACCTATTAGAATTATTAATAATAATTATTATTAATATTGTATGACAAAACTAAGGACCACATGGTAAGGAACAGCTACTATTATTGTTGCACTGTTCTTAGGAAGTGCCCTAAACCACAATGTTCTCACACATGGATGGGCTCCCTCTGTCCCAACAAGGGCATGCATCCCTCCTTGCTTAAATCATTAAAGAACAAAGGGGACCCCCCTTCAACTTTTTCTATGTCCTACATTGGGGCACTTCTGGCAGATTTGCCAAGCTCTATCAGGATCATGGATCGTTTGGTAAGCATAAGAAATATGTCAAAGCTTTAAGCTTCTTTTCTCCTTGAAGAAGCTGTCTCTAGTGGTTGTTCCCAATGCCTTGTACATGCCAATGGTAAGAAACTTGTACTATGGAGTCCCTACCATATCCTGCACATGTCCTTCACATGTTTTACTCGCAATCTCTCACATGTTATGATTCCTCATCTTTTCTCCAAATCAAACAAAAGCAAGCAAGAGAGATGTTTTGTGACATTATGAATTGGTTCAAGAATTTTGAAATCAATTCAACTATGCCTGAACATTTTCTTTTTCTTTTTCTTTCTCTTTTTTTTCATCTTAAATATTTGCGTCTTTTAGCTAATATAGTGGAAGTTTTCAAGACAATCTACTTGCCTAGCTTTGTTAGTTGCAAGCTTACAACCCCAAAGCTACTTTGGCATTTAATACGGTGAGATGTGATGATGACATATAGTCTGCTTTAGCATGATATATATATGTATACTATGATGAAAGAGCATCAAAAGCTTCCTTCCCCTGTCTAACACAACCTACATGCTTGTGTTATAGTGAGGCAAGGTCACACAGTACAGGAAGAAGATAAGTCTTTCAAAAGCCACTTTAATCTACTATGTTGATCATCAGGAGTAGCAGGAAACGAAGGGCCAGGCAAGAGCACCAGAGGAATCTACTCTATTCCTCTTTGGACTCACTAATGATAAAGGATTGTCATATGCCATATGCTGGCTACATAAAGGGTAGAATGCCTCATTCAAATAACATCAAGATGTAGATTGTAAATCAGATGCGTGAATTGGAACAGAGGTGATTTTATACCTGTATCTTAACCAAGTCAAGATGCAAAAGTTTGATGCCTACATGACCCTCAGATAAATAAGACTTCCTTTCCTCACCACATGCTGTTTTGGCAATGCAATCAGCAATCTGAACTGTGTCTTGAATCTTCGTGATGCAAAGTATAAAATCTTCAGCCCTGTAACACTTCATCTTTCCTACTGCAGTTATCCACTGTATCAAACCTGAAAAAAAATTTAGATGAGAGTTTACTTAAGATGTAAAATGCTTAGGAACATGTTGAAGTCATGTGAACTGACAACAGGGCCTCACTCACTGGCAGCATTGCCAGAGTTGTGCATGAAGACATGATTTGTCATGTCTCAGAAAAACTTGTTCACAGACATGCAGGGTTACTCTTATCCAACGTAAGTCAGACATAAGTCAGAAGAGACAGCTGTAAGACCCAGTATATGAACAAAATGAATTGCTGCTACAATCAGTCCAGATGCAACTCCATATGTTTTGACCTCAATTCATACAAATATGACTTCAACCAGAAAATGATCAGATTAGACACCTGATCAGATCACTGGATTGATAAACCATATCAATATCTAGATTAAGTTGAAACGAATCTCAGATCAAACAGGATCGATCAAGTTGGACTCATGTGGTCATGTGGGGTTGTTGAACAAGTCTTCTAATCAGCTGCTCATGTGTTTGACAGACGGCATACAACTCCAATAAGTTCAAACATACACATGTGACGCAAGGAAAGGCTCCTTTATGTTTCGTTCCATGTGCACGTGGACATGATTGTCCCACATGAGCACCTATGGTTCCTGACATGGATTTTGTCCGAGAGTCATACGACTAGAGATTAAAAAGGAAAGAAATAAATGTAAGAAACATGAACCAATACTCAATATCCGTTCATTGTTTAACATCTACAACAACAACAGGAAAATCACAGCAATAAAAGGTTCATGAAGAGACAGAATTTGCTAAGAATAAGACATGGTTTTAGAAGTTGGCAAAGATAACATTAGCCATTTACTCAGATGAGAGTCAGTAAGCTGTTCCCAATTACCTTAGCACAAAGATTTCCTGCGGTCCTGCAGGAGAGTGAAGTGTAGAAGAACAAGTGAAGTCTTCAAGTTTCATAACCATTCTTCTTCTGAGATAACTTCTAATAATACAATAGCCGAAGCCTGAAAAGCTTCACCCAGAAAGAGAAAACATGATCATTGTCTAGCCAAGAAACTCTCAGATGATGGAGAATTGAAAAGAAGAATGTCTCTATAACTCCTCGAGACAAAACCCAATTTGATTATAATGCTTTATGAGGACCTTAGTGAAGACAAGTCAACTGGTAAAACTAATTGTCTGCAGGTTGACACTTGAATGTTTAATAGAGACTAGAGAGCAATACAATTTGAGAGTTCTGTGACCACCTGGATTTCAGCCATGTAATAAGAAATTATCGGATACATTTAATTCTACCCTATTAAGGTCTTGCTCTGGTATCAAAATCCTGAAAACAGAATAATGATGATTCAAACTTTTCTCTCCTTGCAATCTGTAGACACTGCCCAAAGCACCGGCATTTGGATTTGGAAGGGCAAAGAAAATGCGACGGATTCGTTGGTGCACAAGTGCCATGGCACACCTTCAAACATGCAGATATAAATATAAGAACATATTTAATGCAAAAAACTACATAATCTGCGGCATGCATGTCATATATTGGCTAATTACTGAAAAGTTTTGGCATTATTGTCTAGTTCAAACAAGCTCCAAAACCAAAAATTTAGACCAAATCTCAATCGCATATTGGCATATTAAACACTAAATTTGGCTTACATGGTGCATGGCTCCCATACAAGGTAGATATCAAAGCCAGTGCACAAATAAGGCCGCATTATTTCAGTAGGTTCCCTATTGTCTGGAACTTCCTTGACCATGCTGTGCTCCTGACGAAATAGATCCAGCTGACATACATGTTGCTAATTCAATAGACAACATATTCAAGGTTCAACTTTTACAAATGAAACCTATAGAGCAGTATAGAAACTAAAACTCTAAACGGATAGTAAAGTTTAGAAGCTCACACCTGTATCTTTTGACGTTTTGCTGGACAATTATCAGCACACAGTGGATTGCCATTTGGTGTAGATTGAGACTCTGATGATCCTGGACCGGGGAATAGTTGCCTATCTCTTTCTGCGGCATTTTCAATAGCAACAAGAGCAGCATGCCTTAAAGGATGCCATGTATGTTTGCTCTCGCTTTTCATTGAGGAACTCTGACTGCTTTGTTTTTGTGCTGTCCATCCCCAAGGATTTAAGCAAGAAACCCCAGCACATACATCACTGCATATATCAAGTTGAAATTTTTGAACTGAAATTTCTAGACTGTTCTGTAATCCATTCAGATTGGAATCATGGGATGCAATGGTTACTCCACACCTGTCATTGCAGTTATATCTTGCACTGGTCTCGTATGTTGTGGGCCATGGACACGTTTGGTCATTAGCACTTGCAATGACTTGCCTACTAATAGGATCAACGATGATAGCAGCATTTAGAACCTGCAATGCTGAAGAACATGCTCAGCTAAGTGCTAGCTGACATGAATATTCATACAAATCCATAAAAGTTGAACATAGTAAAAGAAACGACAGAGGCTCTTAGACTTGAATACATACATATGTATGTATGTATGTATGTATGTATGCATGCATGCATGCAAGCTAAGGGACGATTCCACTTTCAATATTTAGTTATTATTTCTGCAACAGTCAAAATCCTCTAGTAACTGGAGGAAGACCTGGGTGTATAGGCATATGAAGTAGCGTGAGAGGTATTAGTTTGTCAACAACAAAATGAGCAGGCAATTAAAGAATTGGTGATGCTTTCTGCAAAATACAAGAAGCAAGATAGAAAATAAGAAAAAGAATGTTTCTTACAACATTCATGATAAACAGAAAACATAGAGAAATTGAAAGTAAACACAAAATTAAAAAAAGGATTAAAAAAACAACTCATATTGTAAAGATATAAAAAATGACAAGCAGGTAAGAGTAGTTGCTGACCAATCCCCTACAAAAGTATATGTCCCGAGTACACTTCAAACAACATATGCTTGGATACTCTAATTTCATAAAATCAGTAATTGGACAAACTCCCCTCTCACCCACACACATGCATGCACACAGCCATACAAAATAATTATGACTTGTAGAATACATGAGAGAAGAAAACCTTCAAGATTTTCACACATCTGAAAAAGAAAACAAACCCAAAACCAGATATGCATCTACAAAAACTATAATATATATCAGCATAACAGAATACTAAGTGCAGTAACTTTCCAGAATAGTGTTAAAGCCTCAACTCTACTCAAAATGATAAGCAGAAAACATAGAGAAATTGAAAGTAAACACAAAATTAAAAAAAGGATTAAAAAACAACTCATATTGTAAAGATATAAAAAATGACAAGCTGCTAAGAGTAGTTGCTGACCAATCCCCTACAAAAGTATATGTCCCGAGTACACTTCAAACAACATACGCTTGGATACTCTAATTTCATAAAATCAGTAATTGGACAAACTCCCCTCTCACCCACACACATGCATGCACACAACCATACAAAATAATTATGACTTGTAGAATACATGAGAGAAGAAAACCTTCAAGATTTTCACACATCTGAAAAGGAAAACAAACTCAAAACCAGATATGCATCTACAAAAACTATAATATATATCAGCATAACAGAATACTAACTGCAGTAACTTTCCAGAATAGTGTTAAAGCCTCAACTCTACTCAAAATTTTATTTTATAGTAAAATTGCAAAAAAGAAAGTCTGTGAAAAAGTGAAAATAGTGCAGAAGTAGAATAAATAACATACTTTACCACCAGTATAACTCAACTTTGTTAACTGGATCACAACCTTCATGTAGTTGAATATCAACTGCAATTCCCCTTCACTCAGTCCAGCAACCCCATCGAAACTGTAACATTTGCAAAGATAAGAAGATTGTACTGCAATCCCATCAAGAACAATTAGTATCTATACCCAGAGTACAATTGTTTGTCCAAAATGACAATGAAAATCTTGGATTTTTCATAAATGAAAGCAGCTGTTATTAACTGCTGATATTTCATCTTTGTTGGCTCGTTGTCTTGCTCTTATCTTTTACTCCATCATATTCTTCTTTTCACATTACTTTTTTTTTCACAAGAACCTGAAATGAATTAAACTCTGATCCAACTGTTAGGTATTGGACTTGTCAATCATGAACTATACCAACCTCTTCAAGAGGCCAACAAAAGGGCACAAGTTATGACACCAGTGCCTGGAAAAGATTTTAATTGTTTAAGACTCAATAAAAATGCATCAAATATAAGAATCCAACAAGCTCCCCAACAACAACGTAAGGTCACATCATTATACTTAAAGAGGAACTCTTCAGAATATGTTTAGGAACTATAATAATAAAAAAGTGACCCTCAATTACTAATTCAAAGACTCATCTATTTTACCATAGTAACCAACCATCAAACGAGAGATATGTTGTTTGTTCTATCTTTGTTTACTTCAAGGAAATCTGCATTAACGCTCTTCCATGTTTAATCCATTAAGACACAACCAAAATTAGCTTATTCAGTACATGCACTAAATCTCAATCTAGTCCAAACTAAGAAAGGTGGGAAAGTTTGAGATAGTTTTTCCAATGTACAAATTAAGAAATTTGACAACAGAAAATTTTGCCACTAATCCATAAAATTCTGTCTATAATTTGATGAGATAGAAATTGAAGGCAATGAAAAATCAATATAACAAGTAAATATCTCCAATATTTGAATGACAATTATAACCAAAATTACTTGGTTGATGGATGATATGACGTCGGCCAAAGCTTGCACTGTTCCTCCCATTCTTCTTTTGATCTAGCAGCATACTTGGCAACCTGGAATTAGTTTCAGCACTAGTGCATGTAAGAAATTCTTAATAAAGGTGATCTCTGTAAAAAATAACTGAATTTAACATCGAAATTGTTAGAGGCAAATTAAAGTCCCTTACTCCGACAAACCATTATATTATGTTGCTTGAAGCCATGTTATTACTAAATGAAACTAGGTACGTACTAAACAAACATTCCCATGGGGTCTTGGCTTTCATGTTATTATTTTGAGTGACTTCTTTAAACAATTTTAAAGCACCATGTAGATCAAATACAAAATGGAGATATAACAACCAACATTCAGTTTGTGCTCCATTCCAAAATGGATATCCAATATATAAGACTCTCACCACTAGAGGGTCTAGGGATGGCAAAACATGTACAACTTTCCCTTTGGTTGCAGAAAAGTTATTTCCACAATTCAAACCATGATGCCCGAGGTGCATAGGACGAACCTCATCATAAACCAAAATGCCAAATTTTCTGCCTCTAAGAATCAAGTGTAAACCTCTCACATGGTAATCCTCATCTCATGATTTTAATAACTACATTATAAGGTGATGATGTTTTTCGACATCCAGAAATTTGTAAACGAAAATTAGTGACTCCTTATGAATAAGATAAGGCGGGCGAGCGAGCGAGAGAGAGAGAGAGAGAGAGCTCACTTTTGCATTATAAGGACACAAATTATAGTCACTGATAAGCTGATGAATGCCTCTTGGTATTGCCTCTGCATCTTTTTCATATTCATCAGAAAGACATAGAATAACTGACAACTCAGCATTACCTGTCAGAAAAAAGTCAAATAATACAAGTATTTGGGATTACATCAAATAGGCTTTTCCAACATACAAATTATTAAAGAAAATGTGGATAGCAAAATTCAATGATGTCATTTAAAATTACTATAAGTCAGATATAAAATTTACAGGATGAGACGCAAGAATATAATAGGAACACAAACAAAGAATAGCTATCAAAAATTTGCAAGAAAGTACTGCCTTGTAGACATCAAGTTCACACAACTAGTAGCTATCGTCTACAACTAAGATGATTGGCTAGAAAATAAGGCATCCCTCCAATACCAGTATGCACTAATAATAAAGCAATAATGCAATAACGAAGATAAAGGATGGTATCTATCTGAGTAAAGAATTTTCCACGAATCAAGCATGCCTTCATGTTTTGGGTACCAATAAGCATCTTCCACCATTCTCAACATTTATTACTCTACACCAGAAGATTAAAGAGAAAGAGAAAAGAAACAATGTTTACTCATGCAGAAAAATAGGAGGAAAGGTCAGACCTTCAACCGTCCTTTTTCGCACCCGTTTCACATGACGGAGATTCTCGAGTGGACACACCTGATTCAACTGCCTAAGCAATTCAACAGATAGCAGGAACAAAGAAAGAAAGAAACCATCATAAACAAATTCATCGAGCAAAAACCAATTACAACTGCCGAAGGACAACTTAAAAATTGTATCTGTCAAAGCAAAGCAAACCACTGGTAGAACAAAATGCTAACCTCACAATCTTGTTGGCAAGCTTTGGTTCAATCTTCGAAGCCAAAACATCAACTGAAACAGCAAAAACGATCGGAACTTTGAACCAAAATCAACAAGTAAACAACGCCCCTCGTCACACTAAACTTCATCTGATGAAAACGACTTACCAGTAGACACTTCGAGAGAGCTCTCTGGCTCACCAGGAACATGCACTATCTCCCACTTCATCGTTCCAGTCATCTCCTCCGCCTGCGCCCAAGAACGTGCCGCGGTCTCGCCGCTCCAATTCTAGGGATTCCACAGCCGGCGGTTCCAAGAAGCTAGGCGAGAGGGATTGCAGGAAACGGGCCCGAGGAGAGTTGACACGGAACTATGGGCCTTAAACGAGACGACCCATATAAGTATAAAGAAGTCGTATCCTACAGCTCGGCCCAAATTCTCCGAATGTTAATAGTGTTCATCAGGTGCAAGCACAAATTTGAACTTGTAGCCACGGCCAGGATCGTCCCAAGCCTAGATGCCCGAGCCTATCAGGATCAAGCACGAATCTTGAAAATATATCCACGGCCCAGATGTCCTCAACGAGGAATCAAGCGCCCATGGCTAGGCAAGAATCCTCCGAGGCTAAAATGCCATCACGATCGAGCACGAATCCTGAACCAATAGGCACGGCCGACGGGCTTCTGCAACGGACCAATCAGGTACGAAGAAATCGAAGCCACGGGACGTCCAGGATCCTATACACGAGGCCGAGTTGCACGAATCTCAACAGTGTTCGTCAGGATCAAGCACGCATCCTATCCCAAGAGCCTGCTCGAATCTCAACAACGTTCATCAGAATCGAGCACCAATCTTAAACTAGTAACCACAGCTACTCAGACCATCGGCCCGGCCAGGATCCGTAGCCTAGTTGCCCGAATCTCAACAGTGTTTATCAGGATCAAGCACGAATCTCGAACTAATAGCAAGGGCCCGAAGTCGCTTCGACAAGCCTGGCCAGGATCATCCGAAGCCTGGTTGCCCGAATCTTAACAATGTTCATCAGGATCGAGCAGACGCCTTCGACTCGCAGCCACGGGCGACGACGCTCCGACACGCGATCCTTATCTTACGGGCCCACGAAAACCAGCGGCGGCAGGCTGAGGCAGCCAATCCCTCGCCCACCCAAATAACGTTGACTCAGTCAACTTAAGGACACATGTCACTATCACTTCCCGTCTCGACGCGCGAAGGAAACGGTGGACCGTGCCCGGGTATATCGGCAGTAGAGCCGCCGTCATCCCACACCATCATCCGGCGCTTCGCGAAGCAGAACCAACGGTTACGATTGGTAGATACGCGTCAATATAGAGTCCTCCGCGAGAGCTTCTTTTCTTTACCGAGTAATCCCGCATTCCAATATTATCCCGAAACCGGAGACCGCGATCGAGAGCGCTTCCTCGTCCTCCGGCAACATTGGCGGAACCCCATGGCTGGAATCGATCACGGACGCCCGCTCCCCGCCGCCACCGCTGCGATGCCCCGGACGCTGCCGTCGGACGCTGCGTTCGCCAAGCCCCGGGGCGGGGCCCGAGTGCTGGCCTTCATCCTCCAGACCTTCGTCATGGCCGTCGCCCTCGCGCTCTTCTTCCTCTTCGCCGGGGTTGCCGCCGTCGTCCTCCTCCACCTCCTCGTCGCAGGCCGCACCCTCCGCCGCCGCAGCCGCAACGGCCCCCTATTTCCTAACGCGGCCGACGACGCTTCGCCCGCCGGCCTCTCGGTTGCCCAGCTGAAGGGGCTTCCCTGGTTCGAGTACTCCGGTCGATCGGCGTCCCCGCCTTGGCCTCCGCCGGACTGCGCCGTGTGCTTGGAAGGGTTCGAGAAGGCGGAGAGGTGCCGAGCTCTCCCCTCGTGTGGGCACGTGTTCCATGTCGCCTGCGTCGACCGGTGGCTGGCGAAGTCGCGTGGTTGCCCGATCTGCCGCACTCTCGTTGGCGTGGCGTAGCTGGAGCCGACTGTTGGCCGGCCGACGGGGTGGGTTCGTTCAGTGGATCTTTGTAAGTTATTTCTGTTCCTTGTGTTAGGGTTCCGTGTTTATTGTACAAAATGATGTTCTTTTTTTTTATCAATGTAGCGTTTTGGCCTTGTTTAGCTGGAAACTTCGGTAATCTAAGGTCTTCTCTTGGATTCGATGAGCGATAGTCATCTAAAATGGTTAATTGGGTGAGTATATATTGTTCAAATAGTTGATTTTGATGAGGAATCAGTGATGTTTATGGAAGCAATAATATTTGCTAAGTATAGATATCAATGAGCCAAAAAGAGTAAGCTTGATTTGTCATATATCTTTTGCTGTAAAAGATGAATAGAAACTTATTGAAAAAAAAAAACTTGAATCTCTCACCTTTTAGTTTAGATAGCATGTTGAAGCCGAATTGGATTTCAATCAAGATATCATAAGATATTGTTTGAAACAGTAGTATTCTTAAATACATTTTTCTGATGCAGATGGTTGGTCAGGCTTTTTGGGTTTCAAAAGTCAATGGGACCTAACACATTTTATGTTGGTTTGAGTACTCCTTGTTTATCTTGCAGCTTTGGTAAATTAGTTCTTTTCCTAGATTCGGTGATCATTAACCATTAAAGATGGTAACTAAACAAGGGTCACTTGTCCTCGAGATATGATTTTAGAGATGGAATGATTGGTACGAGTGGAGTAGATATTATTTACGAAGAAGAGAGTTCTTGGTAAATTTCAACTTGGTCGATTTTTAGACGCAGTCAATAAGGAATTGGAACTTGAATCATTTGAATACATAATTGCAACCGTATATTTGTTTCACCTATTCTTTTATCAGCTGATCGTAGATGTGTTTCTGATTTGTGTTGTTGGTTAGACTTTTGGGTTCAGTATTATAGTCTCTCCACGTTTTGTGTTGGTTTGCATGTTTAAAATTCTTATCTTGTCACAAAGGAACTTCTTTATGTAAGTCTTATCTGTTGTGCATGAGTATGCTTTGGTATGGTGTCCTCCATCACCAATCATTCATTGATGTTTTGAGTTCTGACTATCAAATCAAAGTACCACAGTGTTCCTTTCTCTCAACCTCAATCCATGAGGCCAAGGGACGCACCATTTGGACAGTCCTAAGTGGCAAGATCTTGTCGAGCAGTTTCTGAATTCTATCGTAATTTAAGTCTTTTAGTTGTACATCTCTCTCTTTTGTAAAGCTGGTTTAGGGATGGGGGTTCAAGGTTTTGAAAGATCTTTCTTTCAGGTACTAGTGTACCTGCAATAAGATCTACATGTTCATGAACCCAAGGCATCCTAAACTCACTCTCCCTAGTTAATTACTATCTAAAAGCAACTTTTGTGTACTTTATATTGTTGAAATGCCAGCTGAAGTGACAATTACCTTTCACTCTTCCAACTAAATGAACCACTTCCTAAGCCAACATGGTACTTATCAGAAGGCAGACAACTCTTCCTTATTTGAAACCATGGTTCGTCATATCGGTTCGTACCGGTATACCGATCTACTGTCGGTATGATACATATTGAATCATACTAATGTATTAATATACAGTACGATGGAATATACCGATAAGCTAATATGTATTGTTCGTACTGGTCCCCTATTGGACTTGTACATACCGCTCATACCGGACGGTACATTATGATACAGCGAAATTTGTTTGAAACAACCAAAGAACTCAATGTTTTCCTATATCCAGTGGTTTGCTAGTTTCAAGATAAGGATATACCTCTTGGATTTGTAGATTAATTGATGTTCAAAACAAATAGGTTTCTTTTTGGGGCAAAAGTATCACTTGTTCATCAGTTCCTTTAATCAACTTGATGTTAGCATGCTTCTTAGTAGCCCATGATGGTTGGTCCTGTGCTATTGTTTAACTTAATTTATGAACCTAAGTTTGGATGACCGCTGTTAAGTGGGGAGCATCATCAAGGAGGTTTCTTAATGCTCAACTTTCTTATCCCGTGATTGACAACACGTAAATATATCCTTGAGGCTTTTGGCAAAATCAGCAGAGTTAGGCTTAACCCACCATGAAGCTACTGCATTAGCTTACCCCTTGTGTGACAACACCTAAATATATCCTTTAGGCTTTGGCAAAATCAGCACAGGGTTAGGCTTAGCCCACCATGAACCTAATGCATTAATTACATGCCACACAAGGGTGCTTTGCCACCACATACAAGAAGAGTACCCTGACTTTTTTTATCACAAATCTTGGTTTATCCGTGACATCTTGGTAGGCATCTAGGAATATGTGTATAATTCATTTTATAGGTTGGTAGCAAATCTGTACATTGCAAAATAATTGTCCTTTGTTGATGATGGTGTGAAGCAATTAGATTAGATAGCTAAGTATACAATGAAGAGATATCAATACTGTAAATGAAGAAGACTTGATAGATAAGTATGGATGTTTGTAAAACTTGTCTTTTTCATGTATAAACAGATAATGGGTGTAAAAGTTAATCATTATTGTCACCTGGGTTTTTTGCTTGTAAGGTGCAACTTATACAGATTGTTCCTTCTTTGTTTTTGTTAATGGATTTGTGGAATCCCTGTCATCAAGAAAAAGGAAACGAAGTAGAAGTGGAAGCCTGTGCTTTTACATTTGAGAAACTCTTCTGTGCAAAGCATATGCAATTATAATTGTGGACCGCACATTTATTTAAGAATGTCCAAAGAGGGATGGTTATTTTTGCTTTTATGCCATCGGCCATGAATAAAGTAACACTTTTTTTTAATTGTAATCCTTTTATTTATACCTGATTAAGAACAACTATTTTTAGTCTTTGTGCAATTAGCCCAGTGTATTATGGATGGGTTTAATTTACTGTGCAAATGTATGCCTACAGTTCAGTAGGGTATCTCATATCATGTTTGGCATTTGCAAGGAAAGACAGGTACTGACATGAATGCAACACAACATTTCTCTTTCGCTAATGTATTTTGTTTGATTAGTTCTTCACTGACTGATTTCCCAATGCTGTTGTCAGGTTGTGATTGTGGTCATAATTAGAACCTCATTTTCACAACAGAGCTCTTTGTTGGTGATTGATTTTAGCTGAATTAGCTTAAGCTACCTTCATTTTTGTTCATGATATGTTTCACTATAAGATACTTTCACAATTACAAAGTCTGTCAGCGTAAGCTAAAATGATAAGGTTGGCACGTAGTTCCAAGATCATGTATTTTCCTTATACACAATGAATACTATTACCTCATGGGAGATGGAATCCCTAAAGAAATAATGCAAGAGTGGGACAAGAAAACAGTTTCTGTTTACATAGTTTCTTGGACTTGCAATGTTGGAAACGAAGGACAATGGA